TACTACAATTAATCGTGATTAACTTTTTTTGCCAATATTGCCCAACCCTACTATTTAGTCCTGTATGTCCAAATCTTATTCTCAATATAATATCTTCTCCATTTTTACTTCTATTACATTTCCTAAATTCTCCAGCTTTCTTGTGGATATTATAATAAAATCTAGCATTTCCTCCTCTATCCCATTGTTCTTGCTATTTTTCTTTAATGGAAGATTTTATTAGATTCTTGGTCTCATTTTACTTATTTTAACATTATAATCAACTGTACTCTTTTTTTTTTTTTGCAGCACTTTTAGCATATTTATCAGCCATCTCATTTCCTGTTATTCCAATACGGGCAGGAATCCATACTAGTTTAACCTCTGATCCATAATTTTTCATCCTGTAAACTGAGTGAGTTATATCTAATATCTTGCCTTGATTCTGAATTTATCTCCTGAATACTTATTAATGCACTACTTGAGTCTGAACAAATTATAACTTTATTTTCTCTTATTTCTTCAACCCATTCTATAGCCATCAGACTTGCCATTAATTCTCCTTTATTTACTGTTAATTTACCAGTTAATCTTGTGTTTTTCATAATATTTAAATCTGGAATTACAAAATATATACCTRTTTTATCATTTAACATTTTTGAAGCACCTGTATAAATCTGTATATATTCTGAATATTATATCTTTCTACCTCCTAACTTTCTAATTTCCGGGAAGACTTCGTGACCAAACCTGCTGCAGGACTGACATTTTACTTTGAAGGAACCAAACCGGAAGTAGCTGGACTCCGGCGCGTCGCTCTCCGCTCAGGCTGTAAACAGGCGCTTTTATTAAACAAACTTGTGAATTCAAAGTGAAGCACGGAGAGTTTTAATGCACCATGAACATATCCTGGCTGCCGCTGCCATTTTTAAAGCGCTCATCTGCTCCGAAAGAGGCAACTTTCAGCTTTCCAATCGTTGTGTGATTGCCACGTAACACATCTACGYACAACAGAGACGTGGGTTGCAACACATTCAAACAGCTGAGGGCGATGCAGTTCCTTTTTAAAACTTGCAACTCGTGCAYTTTTAAGCAAATATGTTTGCAGATAAATAGCTTTTTTTTTTAATCCCCCCCCCCCTTTTATTTTAGCAAAAGAACGAGTCTGGATGGTAGAGAGCGCCAGATGGGAAGTGAGCTCTACTTCCCAACTAACTTTACTGTGTTTTGGACACGCTTAGATACAAATAAAATAAAAATAAAGATATATTAGATTCCTGTAATAAAAGTTAAAACGGTGCAATGATTGTGCGAGAACAACTTTCGGTCAGCAGAGGAAGTAAGATCAGAGACAGCCATCATGTCGGTTTTCTGAGAACAGACGGGCTCTCCGAACTCTCCATCATCAGGGATAAAAGTCGGTCAACATGTGGACTCACCTCAAACATCAGCCCGAGCAGGAACACCATAGCAACACAGGAAACAATATCTGCATGGTTYTGGATGACAAACTCGTGGCTCAGCACCGGCGGGTTTTTGTTCGTCTTTTTTCGGATCCCCATGTCGAACGCGCTTCGTCAGACTCCTCTCCGCGCCTCAGACGGGCTTTCTTTGCTTTCCGGATGGTGCGAGATTCTCCTGGGTGGCTCGCAGCTCGCCGTGGTTCCTTCGCGCACAGGGCCAGGCAGCTATTGAATGGCGTGTCACTCTTCTGTTAGTGGGAGGACCCACGGAGAGCCGCCGGAACCAGAGAGGCTGCGGCTCTCTCTCGCCGCCTASAGGCAGGGAGTGTAAAAACAAGCCTCTGAGTTTATAAAAAGCTGTTTTTCCCTAATATATTCTGTAAATTTCGCAAGAAACAATCCGTCGTTTATTTTAGAATTGTCATATCAGAAGTTTATTATTTGTAAAACTGATACTAAATTTTCACCGAAGTATGAGGTATTTTTGATTTTCATGGAAAGAATGCTATTATAAACACAAGCACATTTGGCAAATTTCATATCAACAAACATAAATTTCAATCCCCTTCTCAATTTTTTCCCAGTTCAAAGACAATGAACTATATTTATCCATTATTTCGAATCGTACAAAACAAAAAAGCTGTAAATGTGAATGCTGTAGATCAATTAATTTGTACTAAATATAAAAGTCTACCCGCCTCATTTGTTCCTTGTTCTCTTTCTTTGTATTTGTACTGATATTTGCATTTGTAAGGAACATTTTCAATAAATTATTATAAAAAAACAATTTTATTTTTCAACACGTTTTTCGCTGAAGATAAGTTATTATTTCAAGATCAGTATTTTTGGAGGGTCTCCCCATAAATAACTGATCTGCTCCAAATTGTCCAACATGTCAGTTGTTTAAGTTATGTTATCTAACATTAAAGTTTAAATGTACTTTAATTGTTGTGATTTGAGTAGATCAGAATCAGAATATTTTTTGATCCCCGGTGGGGAAATTGCAATCATGTGTAGATGTATGTGTGTGTGTGTATGTGTGTATAAAGTAATAAAAAACAGATTAAGTAAAATGACTTTAACAGAAAATGACTTTGATAAAAATCAACTTCACTGATAAGAAAAGTATTTACAGGAGATGTCCTGATGCATCTCAGTAAGCCTATAATATTGCCCCCCGTACGTGAAGTAGGTTGACTCCAGGCACAGTTTGAGGAGTTGGCACACTTGTTCTGTGGAACAAGTCGGGTGCATCGGGGAAACAAAGCAGCCACTGTTCAAAAGAATGTCCCAACACAGACGAGCTACGTCTAATGGCCAGAACTCTGCAGTTTTCACTCATTTACAGGCCAGCGGTCACTCTTTCAGAGATGAGGATGTTCTCATTCTTGATAGAGAGGAACGTTGGTTTGAGAGAGGAGTAAAAGAAGCCATTTTTGTGAAGAAAGACCGTCCATCATTAAACAGAGGTGGAGGCCTCCGTTTTCAGTTGTCCCCCTCCTACAGTGCAGCTATTGCCAGTATCACTCCACCCCCTGTTAACAATAGGTGTTAATTAGGTGTCAACAATAGCCATGTGATGTGAGTATCAGTCACATGGAGGCAGTGCTTAAAAGCCTGAATTTTGCCTGAAACTCTCAGACTGAAGAAGTCTCTTGGAGGAGAGACGAAACGTTTCATTAGAGAAGAACCCGTCCAGAGGACCTATACAGTTTTTTTCTTTTTTATTTACAGGAGACATAACATGCTTTTAGTGGATGGTATTTAGGTATTTAGAAGTTCTGTTGCAAATACTGTGWCACCATAGTTCAGAAAATATATAGAATCAACATAAGTTGAAAAATGACCCAAACACAATAAAAAGATATCCCTGAAAAAAATTCTAAATCTAAATTTTCTGCAATCCCAAGAGACAAAATGCATATTAAAAAAGAGGATTTTGTATGTCCCCTTTAAATAGAAGTCTACAAACTGCTCACAATGATCAGCAAAGAGAAAGTGAAAGTAAAAGTATAACTTGTATTTCGAATGTAACAAAATAAAATTCAAAGTTGCGATTTAAAACAAAATTCTTAACGAAGGAAAGGCACTTCCTTAATAAACACTTCTGGATTTGAACATCTACTTTTTAATTATAAATGTTATTTTTCCAATAATATGTTTGTATTTTATGTCCCAAACACTTTGAGACAGGGTTATTCATTGCTCAGAGGGCCACATATACTGAAAGTAAACAGCTCAGGAGCAACAGCCAGACATCAGGAATTTATTATACAAGTTTAATTTATGATTTTAAATCCAGCTTTATTTTAAATTAACTCATTGGCAGCTGGTGCAGAGTTTTACAGATCATCTGAACAACAGGATCTCTTCACTGACAGAAACATTTGTCATTTTAGATTTTTTAATGTTTCACAGATTTTTATTTATTTTTTTTATTTTTCACATGTAAAATCTGGTTTTATGTTAAATGGACTTATCGAACTGAATGCACCTGYGAGCCAGATGTGGCCCACAGGTCACCAGTTGAATAGCCTTTGTGTAAAAATTTAATCTTCTGTTTTTTGTTTCAAGCTATAAAGGAACTAATAAAAAACAGGTGACAGGAAAGTGTAAAAGCTTGACTCACACACTCCCGCACACACCCGTGTGCAGCCTCTGCAGTATTATGTAATAATTACATGCTGCTTTGTTTAACTGCATTAGTTGACTGGTTGTTAAGGTGGGGCCTCGTCAGTGTCAAAGAAAGAGGAAGAAAGCGGCTGAAACGAGTCGGAAGGAACTCTCTGGACGAAGGATCCCAGTAAGTTCTGAGCAGGTTTTATTTTATTTTATTTTGTTTATAACTTTGATGTTTTCACGACTGTCCCTGTGTTCTCACTTAGCAGGTTTTCTGACAATGGTGTCGATTTCACAACAATGAAATTATGTTGAGATAATGACAATATGACACAGAGGAAAAACACGATGGGAGGCAATGTTCAGTTATGTTTTCTGTATAAAGTTTTACCTTTGATTACGTTTAAACACCAGCTTTAAAAGTGAAGGAATGATTAAATAGATGAAGTGTCGGTGAGTTGGCGATTTCTGTTTATTGATAGCGAGGTAAATCAGTCTAAATCTCTTTCTGCATTTAAAATAAATTTTAAAATCACTAGGATAGTATGGAATAGGCTGATATTTTGTCATGTATTCATTGTCTATGTGTGTTTTTTGTGTGTATTTCTTCTGTWTTTGAAAACTGATTGTAACAGTCTTCTGAGTTAAATAGCCAACATCCTATTAATGTGAATAGAGGGCAGATATAAGTTTATATTTCTTTCTGTTCCTTTTCAGTCATGAGTTCTTCAGTTGTCACATTTATTAATGACTGAATCAGATGGATGACTAATTTACTGAAAACACCATTTGTCAAGATTAGATATGATGTTTATGACAGGGCAGGAGGATATCTTGTGCCACCTGACTTGTTAAGAAGTTTTTATTATTTGTATTGAGCAGTCTTTTTATTTTGCTCTCGTGTTTTTGCAGAGAGATCCAAATGGCATCTGTAACGTCGAGAGCAGCCAACGGCGTCTGTTCTCAGGAAATCTTCAGTCAGGTTTAATCCTAAAGTTATTTCTAACTTAAAACCTGAGGAAAACAGCTTTAAACCGAGGCCAGGATGCAGCAGTCAGACACTCAGTTCTCCAAACTGCGGTGGTCATTAACCCTCGGGGGGTTGTTCTTGTATGTGGGGGACATCGGGACGGACATCGGACTGGCTTTGATGTATTTTCATGAGTCCCAGTATGCTTGGATGGGATTGACGGTAATGTTTATCCTGACTGGGATGCTAGTGACGCAGATCTTCAGCTACGCCTGGTTCTGGGATGATATGAAGAACGGAGAGCGAATCGCAGCTGGCAGGTCAAAGCGGACGTTTACTGCCCTGCATGTGTTTGGCATGGGGATCTTCACGAGGTATGCAAATGTTGATGGCATTATACGGTTCATGCAAACTGGTATAACCACTTTTCTTCTGTGTTAGGCGTTTTCAAGCTACGGRCTCTTAAATGCGTCACCATCAGGTGCAGCAGTAAGAGATAATTCGGTTTATTATACGGCACAATGACAGGCCTTTTTCACTTTGATCTAGGTATTATCACCTGCTGAAAGAAGGATTCGAGGTTTGGACGACGACAAATTCAAACAAGGCAGAAAGTCTCGAAAAGCACCACCAACTTTTCAACATGGCTTCTGATCTGAGCATGCTGAAGCTTTTTGAGACCTTCCTGGAGAGCGCTCCCCAACTGCTTTTACAGCTTTATATTCTAGGATTTAACGAGTGGCCGCTCCTGCGAAGTAAGTATCGTCAGGAAAACTCAACATGTCAATGTAACGYTTCCGAATCCTCATCAGGACAGCACACGTTTTGTTCTTTCAGTTTTCTCTGCGGCCTTCTCTTTCTGCAACATGGCCTGGTCCTTGGTGGACTATCGAAGCTGCCTCCGCAGGTCTCTTCCTGGCGTCACAGGCATGCCCCCAGGCCTCCCCACGGCCGTCTACCTCCTCTACAAGCTCGGCACCATCACCAGTGCGATTCTCTCCTACAGCCTCCTCCTCACGCTCAGCGTCTACAGCGCGATCGCCTTCACCGTCTTCTGGCTGCTGGGGACAACGTGGGCCCACTGGCTCCGAACCGACTTCTGCACGTCCAGAGTGCTTGAGCTCCTGTACCGGGCTGTGGTGGGAGTTATCCTCGTTTTCAGCTTTTTCAAYGTGAAAGGACAAAATACCAAAGAAGCAATGCTTTTATATTACTTTTCTCGCAGTGTTGTAACTGTCATGGCTCCAWTGCTGTTGGCTTTTTTAAAACCAGAGCTGCAGAACACTGTGTATTTTTGTACAGTTTGTGGATTAGTCTCTGGAGGTTTGTTGGTGGGGCTGCTTTGTCTCGTTTTGTATTATCGCTTCCTGCACCCTGAAGCCTGTGAACCAGATGAGTTGGATGGACCGAAGAAAGASACAGCAATGGTAAAAAGATTAAGGACATGTCTTCAGCCTTGACTGAATGTGTTTTAGAACTGTTTCTTTAGCTGTGAATGGTAAACACTTATTTATCAGAGAACTCTGACCTGTACGGTCTCATCAAGTCACCAGGCTGATGCAGGTCCTGATTATCACCCACTACCGAAAGTAGGGCTGCCACGATTAATCGATTAATCGACGACTAATCGATTATAATCGATGACTAATTTAATAATCGATTAATCGTTTTCTTTTTTTTGTTCTTTACTTTGTTTTTCTCTCCAAACTGCTTTGACACCTTCCACTGCCACATCTGCCTTTCTGTCCTTGACACACATGCACAGTACTGGTAACTGGGGTAGGCCGTGGACGTCACAAGACATTATACAGACAGGCTCTGGTATCATGGCTACCTGACAACAGAGCTCAAAAGTGTGGGATCATTTTAAGAAAATGAAAGAGAAACCTGTGCAATATCTGCAGAGCAGAACTTACCTTCCACAGCAATTATTTTTAGTTAACATATAGCTAAAATCTAACGATGGTTATACAATAGCAGCTGCATTCTGACGTGATAAGCTGTATGTTTTATATTCAATTAACGTATGATCCGATTAGTCAACTAATCGAATAAATAATCGGTGATTAATCGATTATTAAAATAATCGTTTGTGGCAGCCATAACCGAAAGGCAGGTGATTATTTTTTTTTTCTAGTTGAAGCTCATTTATTAACTTTAACCCATTAAAAGTTTCTGGTTGTTTCCAGATGCTATCGGGGGCTTTTATTTTATTTTATTTTATTTTATTTTATTTTTATTTTTTGAAAACCAGGGTGTCAGACAACTTCCTACAGTGCTTAGCTTTAACTTGACACAAAAAAGCAAAAGGCTTTTTAAGGAATTTCAGGGGCGACTGTTTATTAATCGATGTCCCTCATTTGTGTTTGCACATTTTGTAAAATACTGTAATGCACATGCTCAACACAAGATGGTGYTATTGTCACAATTATTTATTCATTTTATTCATTTATTTATTCAATCACTGAGCTCAGACACGGCCTTCAAACTGCATTAGCAAAAGTTTTAGACGTGTTGAAAATGTTTGTAAATTATCAGCTTAATATATTGAAATGTGAGCTGACAGAAAATAAAAAAATCTATAAAGAATAATTATTATTTGCTGTGAACATTCTTTGTTTTCTTACGAGTACACAAAATCATTTTATGACTCACCCGTTTTATTAAATGGGTGCTCATTTTCATCAGATGTACAAACTGAGAGAAACAGGAGACATCTGTGAAAGAGACAAGTTTTTTTTTTCTTTTCTTTTCTTTTTCTTAACCCCTGGAATGAAAGGTCCTGTAAGAAACCTGCTTTTTACTGAGAGTCAAGACACGAACCAGGAGACAAATTCAGATTTACTTAAACATTTATTTATAAAGAAAAAAAAACCATAAAAATACCTCCAGTTAGACTAAAATACAGGCTTTTATTCAGTCTAATGATATTTTGGTACCAAATCAAAACAATCCACACATTTTATCCGTTATCTTCCAGGTCTGGCTAATCCTCAGAGGCAAGACGTGACATCGATTGGGAAGGATCTTCTCTATAGTGACCAGACCCAATTACAACACTCTAATGAGAAATAAACAATTATATGTTGGTCTGTTGTATGGTGATTAACTAATCTTGTCTTTTTAGAAGTACACTCTGTTTGGACAGGATCACCGTGGACAGAGTGCACATCAATCAATCCCAGTTTAATCACGACGCATAACGATATGAAAATTACACAATTAGATGATCAAAAATAGCCTCGACTTCTGGATAAAAACAAGAATGTGTGCTGCGTTTAAGAATCAGTGTTAAAMAKAACAAATTTTCYGTGTCCGCAAGCAWCAGTGGAGCATTGTGGATGTTAGGTTCAATAGTGAGAAATGCAAACATACTTATCCATCCGGTAGCAACATCAGAGAAGAATCCACAACCCAAAATAAATGTTTCATTTAAATCCACCTTCAGCTTAAAGAACATTTAGTCCTGGAGGCAATGGGATGGCTCTCGAAGAACTCGAGACAGATACTTTTCAAAACAACATTGGAAATGAAGTGTATATTAGTCCATCTGACTCGTCTCATTGACCTTGATTCAACTTAAATCAGCTACCTGTTGTGCTCTCTCTCTCTCATTATTATTCTTACAGACTGAAAGATAACAACGAAACGCCCCCCGTCCTCCTCCAGAACGATGAAGGCAGAGGTTACAGATGAGCTAACTAGAAATAATAAACCAGTGCTAATTTTGTTTTGACTACCAACAGAGTATTGTGAGAAAGAGAGAGAGAGAGAGAGAGAGAGAGAGAGAGAGAGAGAGAGACGAGGACACGATTTTTTGGCCAGGGCAGGAGGAAGAAAAGTGGGGGTGGGGAGGCCCAGTGTGAGCTCACCTGGGAGTATTGCTGACAAACCACAGGGTCCAACGAGCTCATTGGTGTTTTTGGTTTCTAAAAAAGGGCAACTTTTCTTAACGCGTCATCCTCTCTTGTTTTTACTCCATCGAAGCCCCCGGTTGTTTACTCCCGAAGACTCCTTGAACCTTCATCTGTCGGGTTGCGCTCCGTCAAAAGCACCCCGTAAAATCCAAACTCCCGTCGAATCTAAGCGACTGAGTTTTGTTGGAGAGGAAGTGACTCTCTGCCAGGTCATTACCGCACAGAATTCAGTTTTTATTGTGGAGCCAAGCTGGACACACTGACTCGTCACGTCCCGTAGATCGCAATCGAGCAGAGTTCGAACAGACGCGAGCGCGCACGTAAAACTCCGTTAAAGGGGATATTTCTACTTACAGGGAGGATTGGTCATTGACAAGCAAAACAAAAGCACATCCTTCTTTTTCGTTTAGGGTGATGGATGCTCCCCTCTTTGGTCTCTACCGTGTGTTTGCGAGAGCTAAAAGGACTAATGCAACGTAAACCTGCCAAGAGGACTTTTACTGGGAGAAGATGCATGCGTCCTGGGCTGCAGTCCTGAGCAGTCATCTCCTCTCTGTCATCCTCTGCTTTAGTTAAACCGCACATACTTCTGGCTGTAAYTCACCACAGAGAGCTTTGCCAAGGAGCCGTCACAAGTCATTGGGATGAAATGTGTTGAGTAAAGCGTTGCCTCCCTGCCCTCTCCAGGAGAAAACAAGCAGAAAGAACTCTGGCTGTTGCCGTCCTTGCTGTAATTTCCACTTCTGGCGCTGAGAGCGTAATACCAGAGTAATCTCTCCCTCCGATCTCTCTGACTGAAGCACCCCCCCCCCACCACCACCCACCCCCAGAAACACCGGAGATCTCAGTGAGAATTAGAGAACCTAGAAGCAAATATCAAAATCGATGATATGTGATGGTGAGAGTAGGATCTCCAGAGCTTTACTGTTTTTTTTTTCTTTTTAGAAAAATCTGTTGAGTTAGTTTGCTAAACATCATATGAACCATTAGCTGCCACAGCTGATCAACCTTAGCAAACACCTAAATGTCTCAACCTCAGCCACTGAGCTAAACTTTGATGTGGAAGTAGCTGACGGTCATTCACAACACAGACGCCGAGGCCTCACAGATTGTGTGATATAACCTGAGATCCCACAGTTACTTTCAAGGTATGACCAAAACAGCGAGAACGCCTTCATTTCTCAATATAATATGATGTTTTTTTTAAGCTCTACCCTTAAAAGTGGTGAGCCACGTGTATTCCTTCAAGAAATGCTTGGTGTTAAACAATGAGACAATCCATTTTTCTTCTGTACGTCTTTTTGGCAGAAAGCATTTTGCAGTTTTTGTTCTTTTTAAACAATTCATGTATCTAAACCAGGGGTTCTCAAACTTTTTAGGTCTGGGGACCCCTCACAAGGGCAAAAAAAATTCCAGGAACCCCCTCATAAACCCCATGCCTTTTTAAAGGGTAATTTACTGTCATTTCAACCCCTAAATGCCACGGGGATACATTTTTTATTGAGTTTATTATGTTTGGTTTATTAGTTCATTGTTCCCCTTGCATTTTTAAAAATAAAGAACAAAACAATTTAGTGACATTTTTTGAGGATCCCCTAAGATACCTCTTGCGGACCCCTGGGGGTCCTGGGACCCCAGTTTGAGAGCCTCTGATCCAAACATTCAGTTCCTTCAGGACATTTAGGCTTTGATCTTTGATATTTCAGCAATAGTTACATTTTACCTGCTATTTTTTACTTTTAATTCTGTTCTACTTTTTTTTATTCCTTGTGCTGATTTCAGCTYTTTTCAGCTTTATTTCTGCTCTCTTCAGCTAATGTTTTAATTTAATTGTTTTGGACTTCTTAATTGTAATTTAAGCTTGTATGCTTCTTTCAGCAGCTTTCTATTTAAGCTACATTTTTAAAGCTAAATTCATCTTTTGTTATAATTTCAGCTTCTGACTGCTTAACTCAGCAAATGTGCTCTTTCTGCTTCCTTGTCCTAGATTCAGCTTCAGCTACTTTTCTGCTAACTTCATTTTTTTTGTTATTTTACAACAAATTGCAAATATTTGATACATTCTTTTTTTTTTAATCTTTCAGCATCAAGCTGCAAATGAAAAGTGTCCAGTCATTTTTTTGGTCAAAAACAAGTTGTGAATCATCACTGAAAATATACAAACTAAAAAATAACCTCACACTGCTGCAGCCGTCAGCAGTTCAGTTTTATCATCTCCCCTCAGAGTCCACATGAACAGACCTGACCTCTGACCTCTTCATAACCACCACTGGACCCTTTAAAAAAATTATCTTTTTGTTTTCAGTCACCACATCCTGGAGCAGCCGGTCAGGATGCGAACATTCTTGGCAATCGCCTTCCCACAATTTGTACAGACACAATAAAACCCCACAAAGGCAAGCTGTTTTTCATTATGGCTTCAAAGTCCATATAAAGCATGATTAATGAAGCCCGGAGATGCTGTATGTCTTTAATTATTATGACCTGACTGCTGCACCAGCGCCTTCAGATGCATTAGCAAAGTTGGCTATCTGTACACGTCTGCATGTTGCATTCTGGCAGCTCTGCCTCATTCTTGAGGAATTCCCCGAAAAAGGAAGGAAGGTATATGAGGGGTATGACAGAAACCMCCTTTTTCCTCCTCCTTTTTTTCCCCCTTTTTTGCACTGGCACAGA